GCGCGCCCGCGCCCAAAATCGCAAACAGAGCGCCCAGAATAGTGCTGAATCAGAGGGCTCTGATTCAAGTCATCGAGATAAAGGGGATAGAGGGGATAGTGAATGAGTAATAGACGGGGGTATTCTTGCGTAGCCATTGCCGAGCAATGCGTGTCAGGTTAGTCTATTGTGTTTTCAACCTCTCGCCGTGCATGTTTTTTGCTTGTTTGTCATCAGTGCTTTCTCAAGATTTGCAAAGCAACTCTTCATTTGGTTCTTGAAGTGTTACAGGTGCACTACAACGCCGAAGCCGTTTTTGCATAGTGGAACAGCATTCGATCTTTCAGTCCTTGCCAATTGCATTGTAGACATGTCTCTGACTCCAGCTGAGTCCCAGGAGCTGCATCGCCTGTTGGCCAAGGCCAAAGCTGCGAACGCTCCCGATGAGTTCGCAGAATTTTCTCAGCACGATCCCAACAATGGCGTTTTGCAGAATCCGCTCACTGGTGAGACAATGAATGTCTGGGAGTGCGGGGCCATGACCGATGGCTCCAAGCGCCGTGAGGACTTTGCTGGCGATGAGACGCCATCCAGCATCAAGCGTCAGGCCAAGCCCAAGGCTAAGAACATGAGCGGCCTTGGAGGAGACCGCAATCGTGGTCAGCCGTCTTATGTTATGTTCTTTGATGAAGAAACTCAGGTTCCATTTCCTCAGGCAAGTCGTCCCGGAGATGTCGCTGGTTCCGTGTTGCCGCCCTTTCCTGAGGGTATTCCGGATCTGGAAACCTGGGGTAAGACGGTGATCTGTTTTGGTCAGTATAAGAACCAGAACATGACGTACATGGACCTTGTGATGGCCACGGACAACAAGGCCCTTGGCTATGTGAAGTGGTGTAAGAGCCATTCCAAATCAGCTCAGGGCCACCTCAAGGATCTGTGCAACTTCATGATGCACCATTCCGCGGATGAGGGCGTGAGTCAGGATCAATTGCATGGTGTCTCTTCAAGGAGATGTGCTGCACCAGAGCTGTGGATAGCTCACCTGTGTATACATCAGCCTGGCCTCAGCTTTGAACTTTGAAGATGTAGAAAATATAACCAGTGTTGATTTGCAGCATGTGCACCATTGCAGTCAGTGCCTGATTTCCATTGCGTACCGCAGGGACTCTTTTCACATGTCAAGCCAGAAAAGGTGGCCGCGCGATGTGACACTGAAGTGTCACCTTTTTGGTTGGGTTCCGCAACCAGTCTAAATATATGTATGTATGTTATGTATGGTATGTATGTTATGTCATGTATGTTATGTATGTATGTATGTATGTAATGTTATGTTATGTTATGTTATGTTATGTATGTATGTGTGTATGCAATGTATGTGTGTATGTATGTATGTATGTATGTAATGTAATGTAATGTAATGTAATGTAATGTAATGTAATGTAATGTAATGTAATGTAATGTAATGTAATGTAATGTAATGTAATGTATGTATGTATGTTATGTTATGTTATGTTATGTTATGTTATGTATGTATGCATGCATGTATGTATGTAATGTCATGTAATGTAATTTAATGTAATGTAATGTATGTATGTATGTATGTATGTATGTATATATGTATGTTATGTTATGTTATGTTATGTTATGTATGTTATGTATGTATGTATGTATGTATGTATGTATGTATGTATGTATGTATGTAATGTAATGTAATGTAATGTAATGTAATGTAATGCAATGTATTGTATGTATGTATGTGATGTATGTATGTATGTATGTATGTATGTATGTATGTATGTTTGCTCCCCAGTATTTCCCGCAAAAAACACGTTTTCCTGCGTTTTCGCAATGAGGACGTCCAAAAACACAGAGTTTTGCAGATTTTCGGCAACAGGAGGCAGGAAGCCCAAGCCAGCAAAAAGGCCGGCAAGGGGGAATCGAGCCTGGGAGCCCTGTTTTGCGACACCGGCTCCCCGAAGACTACGTTTAGTGGAACGTCATCAAATTGCCGCGCGGTCGGAGGGGGAGGGGGGGGGGGGTTGGCGACCGAAAAACCATGCGTAATTGACGTGTCTCGGATGGGGACTAAGGGGGGGGGTTATCCTCTATCCTCTAATAGGTATCCGACACGCCGAACAATGTTTGCCAGGATCTGTATATAATTTTCCGTGTACCCCAGATGTGGGAGTCTGGTGGGCAAACCTTTCAGGGGAATAGATCGCCTGGGGAACAACGCTCACGGCCATCCCACTTTCCCACTTTTGCCACGCCTATGGTTTACGCGCGCCCCGTTGCATGGAACCTGTCTGGCTGTGCTTTCCTATTGGCAAGTGACCAGGTCAGATGCTTTCTAGTCGGTCTCAGTCCTGCCAACTTGTGTTGTGCAATCGGGTCTATGATGAGCTGCGTCCGGTCCTCATTGGCATGCTGCCACTTGAATGGGCCATTCGCTAAGGATCGTGCCTTTTGGAACGTACGTTTTCTTTTGCAGCCGCCCGAAATGAACCGTGGCTTTCTCCCA